TAGTGTGTTACTGCAACCCTTCCAAATTTTGTGTAGTGATGTTATGTAATATGTAAAATAAAGCATATTCAATTATCCAATTGATTAGAATATACTTGCGTCAGTGTATTTTATTAACGCCCAAAACCGTATTTGTTAAACACATATAATAACAGATCATATACACGCATGGTGCCTTGACATACTATTAGCTTTAATAGGCCATCCCGGAATAAAATAGTTCCCCCAAAAGCGAGGAACATCTGTTTTAGTTTGTTTACAAGAAATATATTCAAAAAAATATCCTTATTAGATGAGAAGGTCTGTTAAGAACTACCTCAGTAAGTTAATCACAATGACAGAGCGTCGTAATACATTGATGTATTTACATCAAGTACAAGACGTCAAAATGGCCGACACGATAAACGTGACGGGAGATATTTCCGAAGTTGTTAATTAACCCGTGGCGATTTCAAGCCTTTGTCATCACTGATCAATTGGCCGATCATTGAAAGCTGATTGTAAAGATGTGTCAAATAGATACTAAGGTAAATTCATAGATTGCTGTAGATTGTCACTACGATAGTTTGGATTTTGGGGTTGTTTTTTTCTCTAGGATGGGTTGTAGCGAGGGTATACTTGAACGGTTATGCAACCAAACTCTATGACTTATCCCAGAGTATGCTAAGACGCTACATTCAAAATTAAAGGGTCTAAATGATGAGAAACAACGCTTCTGTATGAATTCGTACTAGGGAATTCCCTGGGTTTACCCATGGAATGTGGAAGTAGTCAGTGCTTATATTACGTAATTTCAAGAATACAGTCACGTGAAAAACATCATGTGACCCACCTCTCGTCCTATGGGTGAGTGAGTTGGGTTTAACGCCGCTTTTAACAGTATTACAGTTATATCACGGCGTGTCAGCTGAATGTGGGAGGAAAGCCCGAAGTGATGCAGGTCTCAGACGTTTACCACTTCGGTGAAACCCACGAGAACGGGTATGGTGCTGACAAACCTAGAAACACAATCGGGGCGAACCGGGATTCGAACCCACAATCATAGGTTTCTGGCATGCCCAAGGGACGCAACTCGTCCTATGGAAAAGCCGTATATCGGGTAAACTTCACATTACAAAATTAGTTACTGTTATAACCAAATGAAACACAACCTATTATCCGATAGAGGTAACTGTGCATAGCGGAGAGATATGTTATCTCAATAAACTTGGTAACATGGTTTGGTTTGACTTCTTGGCGCGTGTCTGAATTCCATTAACATGTTACATATCCTAAAACTGACTAATCAGCAAATCTCGCTGCGCGCGACAGATACTAGAGCAAGGCATGCCAGAAATACGAAACCTAATGCTTCCGAAAGGAAGCCTTGGGCAGCACGTGCGTCGGAGGACCAGCGCCATCTGATTGGCCGTTAACAGTTGTACAAGGCGGAGCAAAAAGACTCGTTTTTCTGTCCATTTTACGCTTGAAGAACTCGACGCTTTTCCGGACACTTTCTAGACGCTCACCAATTAATCAATTTTAATGAATTGTTATTCGTTTTTCCGTCCAATGACCATATACGGAAAAACGACGTTTTCGTGTTTGCGGTGTTTGGCCTGAAGTGCAGCTTTGCATACATGGCTTCGACCAATTTAAATTTGTTGAGAATGATACACCAAAATATTTATAAGAAGAAACACATTCTAATCTAACATCTCCATAATACCACTTTTCATTTTTAGACAACATTCCTCCCTTACGGGACGCCATTACTTTAGTTTTGTCAAAGTTAACAGTTAATGAAAATCTATGACAAAAATCTTTAAGAACATCAATGCGCTTCTGTAGGCCAAATACAGTATCAGCAATTAAAGTGACATCGTCCGCAAACAATGCTAAAAAGAGCTGAAGAAGTTCTGGATGAAACTGGATTCAATCTCTAGAGCCAAGTCATTAATGAACATATTAAACAGGAAGGGACTTAGTAAACAGCCTTGACGGACTCCATTATTGCACGGGAAAAATCTGAAAGTTGGTTTCCATATTTGACACAAGAGATAACATATTTATAAATCGATTGGATATTTGTATACATCTTTGGCGAGACTCCATGTACTTTTAATACGCGCCACAATTTTGATCTATCAACAGAGTCGAAAGCCTTCGAAAAATCTACAAAAAGTGTATACACTTTACTTCTCTTTTTACCTAAATATCGCTGAATGATAGATTGCAATATGAAAATATTGTCAGCTGTAGAGTAGCCCCGACGAAAGCCAGCCTGGGATTCGACAAATTTATCACATGATTCACCCCAAAACTGTAATCTCTTATTTAATAATTTATGTTAGTGTAGACTTTACTGAAAGCACTCAGTATTGTTATACCTCTGTAGTTGGCTGGTATTTTAGTATCACCCTTTTTGTGGAGGGGAACAATAACTCCATGTGTCCACATAGAAGGAAAGTATGCAGTATCAAACATTGCAGTAAATATTAAAGTCAAGATTGGACATAGTGCATCCTGGGCATATTTAAACATTTCAGTTATAAGTTTATCTGCACCAGCTGATTTACCATAATCTAATGAATTAATAGAATTAATAAATTCCTCTTGGAGAATGGGAGAGTCAAGAATAGAATCTGCAAGCTGATCGGTGTTCGTGTTTATACATTCATCTTCGGTGACTGTATCAGATTTAGTTTCAAACATACCCTGAAAGTATTTCAACCATTGGTTTATGTTAATGTCCGGTTTTGGAGAAGGCTGAGTGTTAGATAAACGCTTCAACGAAGACCAGGACAGTTTACCATTATGTATATTATTAACTATTGCGCTTTTGATGTCTTCTTGGTATTGTCTCTTTTTTACACGAGTAACATTTGTATATTGATTTCTTTGTCTTATATAATTATTTAACGATGGCTGATCTTTTTTTTCGTTTAAAGGATTTAAGTAGTCTAGGTCTCTCCGAACGGTGATAACGACAATCTTTGTCAAACCAGGGTTGATCATAAATGTTAGTACCACTAGATCTTTTCATGTACTCTGCAGCAGAACTGATGGCTTCGGACAAAGTATGAACCGCATCATCACTGTTACCAGAACATATATCTTCCGTGCACTTTTCAACTGGGATGTTGAGTCCGTGTTACAGAGGTTATCCCTAAATATAGATTCTTTGTTGTCATTCCAGATGAAGCGATACTCTGCATTATTTGCACGTGCGTCTTGTTCGAGACGCTCCCGTTGATCAAGGTCACGTGACTGCAATGTACAAGTGATTGGCGCGTGTTCCGATTCTGTGTAGTTTCAACGTTGAAGCGAGAACACAATGCAAACAGACGAGTTGTTGAGATCATATAGTCAATGACACTTGCACCAATCGCACCAATAAATGTATATTCACCTTTGCCCGGGTGCGGTCGGGTAGCCTAGTGGTTAAAGCGTTCGGTCGTCACGCCGAAGACCCGGGTTCGATTCCCGACATGGGTACAATGTGTGAAGCCCATTTCTGGTGTCCCCCGCCGTGATATTGCTGGAATATTGCTAAAAGCGGCGGAAAACCATACTCACTCGCTCACTCACCTTTGCCCGCGTCATCACCACATCTGCCATTAAATAAATTTAGATTCATGGCACTGCAAACGTTTAGTAGTGTTCTTCCAAATTGATTCACTATATTATCACATGAATATCGTGTAATGTGAACGTTGTCATCGAGATCAGAGAAATCTTCTATTCTTAATCGTTCAGCAATGTCATCGGAGATTAAGTCTGCATCTGTACCTGTTCTGGCGTTGAGGTCGCCTCCAATCAACAGGTGTAAATCACCATAGTCATTTAGTACATTTAGTAGAGAGTCAAACAGTAGACTTATACCACACTTGGATGGTTTGTTAGTATACCAAGACGACCCAATAGGCCATCAAAATATCCCTTTCCAGATTGAGCAAAGATTTATCTAAGATAAAGAATATACAGTTCAGGTCGATAACATGGCTTTTCACGTATTGAATAAGTGAAGTTTTAATCAATACCACAATACCCCCAGACAGTCTTCCAAATGAGGGAACTTTACTAGCTGGTAAAACGTATTGCTGATAATCAGAGTGAGTGAGTTTGATTTTAAGCCGCTTTTAGCAATATTCCAGCAATATCACGACGGGGGACACCAGAAATGGGCTTCACACATTGTAGCCATGTCGGGAATCGAACCCGGGTCTTCGGCGTGACGAGCGAACGCTTTAACCACTAGGCTACCCGACCGCCCTTCTGATAATCAGAAAAATATTGATCGCAAAGAAGTTTCTTACACCATGTTTCACTAAGTGAAATAAAGTCGTACAATTTAATGAATTCGATGAAATGTGGATCATCAATTTTGGTTGAAAGTCCTGATATGTTCCAAACTAATATGTTGATTGGATGACTGTGGTCATCGGAGCGTGTAGGGCCGCGGCCACACCCCTAGCTGTGGTTAACGTTAACTTAGATCTGTTGCGTAATTTTGTCGACCACAATATAGTACAGCGTTATACGCTGTCAAAACAACACAACATAACACAACTGAGCTGTTCCCAGGTAGAAATTTATAGCTTATGAGGGGCGGTCGGGTAGCCTAGTGGTTAAAGCGTTCGCCCGTCACGCCGAAGACCCGGGTTCGATTCCTGACATGGGTACAATGTGTGAAGCCCACTTCTGGCGTCCCTCGCCGTGATATTGCTGGAATATTGCTAAAAGCGGCGTAAAACCATACTCACTAACTATAGCTTATGAGCTCGTCAGAGGATGCTGAACGTTAGTTTCACGAGTGGCAAGTGGTTTCAAGACACCGATCATTTTACACAGTGTTTCCTCGTGTAAGGCGGATTAACTGTAATCCGGGAACCCGCGCGACGCAGTCAGGTACTTTGCAACAGCTGACATCCTCTTCCTCATCACACGGACATATAACTGAAGCCGCGTTCTAGACCACGTGTTTAATATTCATGCTGATGCGATTTTCTTCTTGATAGGTTTCCCATAAAGAGGGAACACCAAGCGGACCACGTTTTCACCTCGGGGAACGACTGTTTACTTCTTACCATACGTGAGGATTTTCCCTTAGAATCCACTTTTTGTTGAGGTAGGTACTGTTATATTATATGCTTCAGTGTGAAACACTTGAGTTTTCTGAAGTTGTGGAAATTTATCGTGTGTCTGGCCCGTACACAAACTGTTGACTTTCTTTTTACGTAAGTTCCACACTGACAAGGCAAAATAATGACACTCGATGAGAGAAACATGAAATTTCACATGAAATATACACTATATAATTTTATTGATTTGTAAATATGTATAACGAGTGTTCACTCCCATTTGGTTATCGATCCCCGAGGTACATAGTTCTCCTATAGGTAGTATTTGTTACGGAATATTTCATATCAATGACATCATAAATCTTTGAACTCCACAAGAATGATAAGAAGATTCGTTATCCATGTTGTAGAAAAATGATAATATTTTCTGTTGCCGAATAAAAGCGAAAAAGTCAACCACATTGTTGAGAGAAGAAATGTCAAACTGAGAACCGTGTTCGCCAAACTCTTGATATTACCCACTGGATTGCAGATACTTTGTCACGAGGGTGCTCTTTATATTCGTCAAAACAAAAACACACACCAACACTGCACACACTAACACTACACACATCAACACTAAACACACTAACACTTTGCACATTAACCCTACCAACACTAACCATAAACTAACCGTGCACACACTAACACTACCTACACTACACACATCAACACTACATACACTAACACTGCACTCACTAACACTACAAACACTAACACTGCACACACTAACACTGCACTCACTAACACTACACACACTAACACGACACACACTAACACTGCACTCACTAATACTACAAACACTAACACTACAAACACTAACACTTCACACACTAACACTACATACACTACACATACCAACACTACACACACCAACACGACACACACTAACACGACACACACTAACACTGCACTCACTAATACTACAAACACTAACACTACACACACTAACACTACATACACTACACATACCAACACTACACACACCAACACGACACACACTAACACTGCACTCACTAATACTACAAACACTAACACTACACACACTAACACTACATACACTACACATACCAACACTACACACACCAACACGACACACACTAACACTGCACTAATTCTACAAACACTAACACTACAAACACTAACACTAACACTACACTCACTAATACTACAAACACTAACACTACATACACTAACACTACACACACTAACACTACATACACTACATATACCAACACTACACACACCAACACGACACACACTAACACTGCACTCACTAATACTACAAACACTCACTCCTACTGGAATGCATTCCCGCATATTGGTGCACTGCTTTTGGATCTTTGGCTGGACTTTAAATACGAGATCATCAAAACTTTCCTGTCCCATGCGAAAAAAAAAATTGTAATAAGACTATTCATCCTCAATTTCTAATTCTTTAAGTAGATTGCTGTACGCTCCCTGAATGTCGCGACGGAGAATCCAGTCTTTCGCCCAACAACTTCTCTTTTTCTTCGCTTTGGCATTGCCGTCTTCACATAATATCACGCAACAGATGACTGCTGCCACGTCTGCTTCAGACATTTTGAAACCATGGAAAGGTATCATGAGATCGACACTCAATCGGCAGATCGAATGGTGTGAGTGGTAGCAAATCGATTAGTCGATATTCGTTACCGAACATGTTGTACTATGTACGGAAATCGGCAGGTCGTTACGACGTGTCGACCCGTGTGAGTCGCGCTTAACATACAGAGTCATAACACACTACCATAACAGATAGCTGTAACACATACTGTCATACCAGATAGCTGTAACACATACTGTCATCACAGATAGCTACAACACATACAGTCATAACAGATAGCTGTAACACACTACCATAACAGATAGCTGTAACACATACTGTCATACCAGATAGCTGTAACACATACTGTCATCACAGATAGCTACAACACATACAGTCATAACAGATAGCTGTAACACATACAGTCATAACAGATAGCTGTAACACATACTGTCATCACAGATAGCTGTAACACATACAGTCATTACAGATAGCTGTAACACATACAGTCATAACAGATAGCTGTAACACATACAGTCATAACAGATACCTGTAACACATACAGTCATACCAGATAGCTGTAACACATACAGTCATAACAGATAGCTGTAACACATACAGTCATCACAGATAGCTGTAACACATACAGTCATCACAGATAGCTGTAACACATACAGTCATCACAGATAGCTGTAACACACAGTCATCACAGATAGCTGTAACACATACAGTCATCACAGATAGCTGTACCACACACAGTCAGAACAGATAGCTGTAACACACACAGTCATCACAGATAGCTGTAACACACACCGTCATCACAGATAGCTGTAACACATACAGTCACCACAGATAACTGTAACACATACAGTCATAACAGATAGCTGTAACACATACAGTCATAACAGATAGCTGTAACACACACGGTCATAACAGATAGCTGTAACACATACAGTCATAACAGATAGCTGTAACACGTACAGTCATAACAGATAGCTGTAACACATACAGTCATAACAGATAGCTGTAACACATACAGTCATAACAGATAGCTGTAACACATAGTCATCACAGATAGCTGTAACACATAGTCATAACAGATAGCTGTAACACATGCAGTCATAACAGATAGCTGTAACACATAGTCATAACAGATAGCTGTAACACATACAGTCATAACAGATAGCTGTAACACATACAGTCATAACAGATAGCTGTAACACATACAGTCATAACAGATAGCTGTAACACATAGTCATAACAGATAGCTGTAACACATAGTCATAACAGATAGCTGTAACACATAGTCATAACAGATAGCTGTAACACATAGTCATAACAGATAGCTGTAACACATAGTCATAACAGACAGCTGTAATACATGCAGTCATGACAGATAGTGGTAACAGATACCGTCATAACAGATAGCTGTAACACATAGTCATAACAGATAGCTGTAACACATGCAGTCATAACAGATAGCTGTAACACATACAGTCATAACAGATAGCTGTAACACATACAGTCATAACAGATAGCTGTAACACATACAGTCATAACAGATAGCTGTAACACATAGTCATAACAGATAGCTGTAACACATAGTCATAACAGATAGCTGTAACACATAGTCATAACAGATAGCTGTAACACATAGTCATAACAGATAGCTGTAACACATAGTCATAACAGACAGCTGTAATACATACAGTCATGACAGATAGTGGTAACAGATACCGTCATAACAGATAGCTGTAACACATAGTCATAACAGATAGCTGTAACACATACAGTCATAACAGATAGCTGTAACACATAGTCATAACAGATAGCTGTAACACATACAGTCATAACAGATAGCTGTAACACATAGTCATAACAGATAGCTGTAACACATACAGTCATAACAGATAGCTGTAACACATAGTCATAACAGATAGCTGTAACACATGCAGTCATAACAGAAATTATGTGAATGAACAACTGAAAGCCAGAGATAACACCAGGTGTTCGCGAAAAGGGAAAGCGAGTTAGATCAATAGAGAAATCTAAAAACGAAATAGGATTTGAAAAATACTTCCAACTCTAGTGGTGCAATTCTTCATCTGTCCGACATAGCTGTATCTAATTTAACTTTATACGAAGAAGAAATGACATAACTTACGGCATTAGGTTCATTTATGCAAAGAAGTTAAATAAAGCAATTTCCGTTTCCTCTCACAGCTCAGTGAATTCTGATGGGAATTTTCAGTGTTCGGTCCGACTTGGCCCGGGCAGTCAATATCAATTAAAACAGAAAAAATGTATCACGAACTATGTAAAGATCTACAGAAAAATTCCAGCCAAAGTGAAACCTTACCTCCTCTGTACTCTCAACATAGCCTCAACTTTCACGTCACAGATGTATCATAGAATGTGTTTTAATATAAAGAAGAAAATCATATCGGTGTTCGCCCGGGAGTTCTAAATTTGATATTTAGGAGGGAAAATCCTCTTGGCGTCCCCGGGACCAGTAAGGACACGGTTCATTGACACTGGGTTTGGTAGATCCAAGATCCAAGTTTGTTTGTAGAATCACAGTCCTAAATGATGTTGCAAAACTACTTGTTTTCTTTTTCACAGAATCATTTGCACCAAACTTCCCTAACTCACTGAAGATATTTGTACCAAAATAAGGTTGAAATGTCATAAATTATTACTTCATAAGTCAGGTGAGCTACAGAGCCTTGTGGCTCAATTTTTGCAAAGGTACATATACTGAACAACAAAAGTTCCTGTGACATTGAATAAGATTTAATGCAAAGTTATGTTTTTTACCAAATCTGAAACAATTTCGATTTGCAACAGATAAAAAAACTCCCGTAACTGTTCAAATGGTTTAATGTGCCATACTGACTTCAGAAAATGCGTGATTTCATAAAAAAACAACCTATGAACATGCCAAAATGTCAATGTACAAATCAATAGCGTGTGTGTCCACCTCTGGTTGGGATGCAAGCGACACATCTTCGTCTCATGGAATGGACCAGGCTTCGCACAAAGTCCTGTAGAATATCTGTCCATATCTGCTGGAGCATGTTTCGAAGTTCCTGGAGTGTCTGTTGAACACGTGGTTGACGTCGAAGGCGCCGATCCATCTCATCCCACATGTCATGTTGAAAGGTAATGCCTGGGCCATAACGACGCCAAAACGTTAAAACAGCAGGGCCGATGATCTCGTCGCGGTAGCGATGTCCATTGAGATATTTCCCTCTACCACTATAAAACGGGTCCTCTGTCTTGCTGTAATCCCACCCCATACCATAACACTGCCGCCCCCGAACCGATCTTCTTCCATGACACAATGATGTGTCGGTACACTCGAATCCGTCCATCGCTGTGGCTGAGGTGAAAACGAGACTCGTCAGTGAATAGAACTTGTCCCCACTGCATGGCCGTCCA